TTTCAGATTTTTCTTACTTTAAATGATAGTTCGTTTCATTTTGTAGATACGCTAGTAGTAGCTTAAGTTTAAAAAAACTGACAAGACAAATAGGAATTGAATTAAAAATTAATTTATAAAATTATCTAAACATAAAAGTCTTCCATTAGAAAACCTCTTTAGTAGCAGACTTCATTTTCTCCTCTGTTTCTTTATCCCTCTAAGCGATCCTCCCATTCAAATCAAAATCTGTACTTCGACTCCCGTACCAGTCTGAAAATTCATATAGCTTCCTTTGCCAGTACTGTGATTTATGACTTCCCCATGCTACCGAAAGACAAAAATAATATTCGGAGAAACAGTTATTTAAGAAACTTCTGTCAATAAGTTTAAAAAAGTAGACCCGAAGCTATAAATGAAATTAGAAATAAATCAGAATAGAGATGGCATGTAAAAGACGTACGACCAGAAAACGTACAAAGATATATAAAGAGTGCTTTATTGAAGCAGGATTATTTAATACTGCCGAAGGTATCATCCATTGGAGCTTTTCATTTCCCTGGATGAATTCAAGTTCACATCAGTCGCAAATTTCCAGATTGATTTGAAATTAGATTTTTTACTTTACTTTCATTTTTTCTTTACTGATTTGCAGTGATTCTCTCAGTGATTCTGCAGTATATATAAAAGATACATTTAACAAGAGAGTAAATTTAACAGAATGGCATATTACTTGATTTCACGCAGCTCAGACTTCCCGTTGAATTTCACTTTTTCTCTACCCCCCGCCAAAGCTCAGATTGCTTTAAACTGAATATGTTTAGAAATATTTATTTGTAAAAGAACTGTAGCGAATGCTTGTATTAAATAATGTAGGCCATTTTAGAATGTGAACCAAGAATTTGTCTTTCTTTAATCTTAGGTTTAATACTTTTCGCTGTGTGTCTTTTTATACACTGTTCGGCATTGAAAATGCAACACCAAGAAGGAGTGGTCAGAAATTTATGCGAATTTTAGAGTAGACGCACGTCACTGAGTTATGCGAATGATGGAAAATGCGCAGCTCTCCGACGCACATGAAGTAAGATATAAGGGAAGGAACGTGCAGAATGGGCAATATTCGTGTCGTTATTTCTGCCAGACGAATTATTGAAGAAAGTTGTTTTTTTTTTTTTTTTTCCGGAAGATACATGTAATAGGAGAGAATGCCAGGCCGCCATCAACGAAGGCACTTCTAGCAGATAAACGATTTTACGAGGGGTATGGTGACCGGACTGAGAAGGACGGGCTGGTCGTTACGTCAAATCGCAGCTGACACCCACATGGATGCCAGCACGGTGCATCGGCTATGGCGAACATGGTTAAAACAAAAAAACAAAAAAAAATGTGGGAAGAAGGAGGGGTGCAGGTGCAGCCAGAGTGACATCAGCACACGGGGATCGACGCATCCGCCGACAAGCTGTGGTGGTCTCCCAAGTCACTTGTACAGCGATTCTGCAGCATGTGCAAGATACCCTGGGTGTTCCCGTGCCGACCAGAACCATTTTCCCGTCGATTGGGTTGAACGTAACCTGGACTCACAGCATCCGTTAAGAAAACTGCCATTGACCCCACAGCATACACGCCAACGTTTAGAATGGTGCCGGACTGGAGCGATGTAGATGAGAGAATGGCGAAAATGTCGTGTTTCTCAGATGAGTCACGCTTCTGTTTATCCAGTGACAGTTGCCGCATACGTGTGTGGCGTCGACGTGGAGACAGATCTAATCCGGCAGTAACTGTGGAACGCCCCACCGCGCAAAAACGTGGCATAATGGTTTGGGGCGCTATTGCCTACGATTCCAGGTCACACCTCTAGTTCGTATTCATAGCACTATGACGGCCCAACGATACTTGGATAATGTACTGCGGCCAGTGGCAATCCCCTACTCTCAGGGGCTGCCTAATGCAATTTTTCAGCAGGATAACGCCCGACCACACAGTGTTCACATCTGCCAACATGCTCTGCAAAAACATCGTGGGAGAAAACATCGCAGTTTCAAAACATCGTGATACAAAATATCGTCGTCCAAAATAAAGCGGTTCAAAAATTTCGTAACAACTGGTTCAGAAAAAAATCGTAATCGAAAATATCGTGGTAAAAAATAAAGTATCTACAACTCATCGCATGACGATAACATCGCAGACGTGCGTTTTTCCAGGCTTTAATAATTGTGAAAAATGGATATTTCCATAATGATTTGTGAGCGGAAGATGGAAAGAAGGATAATCTTTACTTTCATATTTTTTTATTAACTAATAACATTTTTTGCTGAAAAAGGTAAAATGGAACTTAAGCATAGAAAATTAAGGCAACTTATAGCACTTAATAGAATTTTAAACTAACATAGTTAACTAATATTGACAAAGGTCATTAATAAATCATTTTTTATAAAGTTTTTACTGGTAAATTTTTCATTAAAATTGTAATCTAAAAATGTTTAGAAAAAGGAAGCTAACGTAACTGCATGACCCTATCTATAAAAAATTGCTAATTAATGAGATTATTTTCTTCACTTTTGTCAATCTAATACTCTTATAATGAAAATTATTTCTTTGTTCTGCTTCAATTTCTTGTTTTATTTTCTTAAATTTATTAAGTTTCCTTCTTACTTTTTCAGCAAAAATTTATTAGTTAATAAAAAATATGATAGTAAAAATTATCTTTTTATCCATCTTGGCGCTAACAACTCATTATGGGAATATCCATTTACAATTATTAAAGCCTTAAAAAAGCAGGTCTGCGATGTTATCGTCCTGCGGTGATTTGTCGATACTTTATATTTTTTACCGCGATATTTTCGACGACGATGTTTTTAAACTGCGAATTTTTTTAACCGCGTTATTTTTGACGATGATATTTTGTACCACGATGTTTTAAAACTGCGATGTTTTTCTCCCACGGTGTTTTGTAGTACGACGTTGCGTTGTTTTCTCCACGACGTTTTCGCCCGCGATGATTTTGCCGCGATGTTATCGGCGGAAACCAAAGATGCTTCCCTGGTCACCGTACTGTCCTGACCTGTCACCAAACGAACATGTGTGGGATGTGATTGGACGCCGTTTGCAGACTCTGCCCCTGCCTCATTCAGAAGACGAACTTTGGAAAATGGTTGAAAGGGAATGGAGAGCCATCCCTAAGGACACCATCCGCAGTCTTATTGACTCCATGTCTAGACGCGTTTCTTCATGCATCGCTGTCCGCCGTGGTCCTCGCTCTGTATTCTGACTATTATTTTTAATTAAAGATCACTTATTGCTGCTTGCTGTCTCTATCCTTTTTCCAAATTTCATCACTTTCTGACCACTCCTTCTTGGTGATACTATATACTCAAAACATTTTCAATGTCGAGCAGTGTATATTGTACAATCTTAGAAACATTTCAATGCCTTTCAAAATCCGTATCGGCTACTGCAATAAAATTATTTCAAAGAATGTCCTGTAACATTCTTAGGAATTATCGCATTCCGCTATGCACGCTGTCACAGTGCAAGTGATTAGGGAAACTAATTAGCAAACAGAAGCACAATGGTTCGCATCCTGTCAAGTGAGGCCACTAAATGGAAAATATCTATGTCCAAACTTCTGAAAGATACCATATATGACAAGAAAAATGGAGTGAGTATGATCATACACAAGTATCTCCTATGTAACTATACAACCTATTCTCCTTTTTTGTATTCTCCCTTTTCCTAAGTTTCTATTTTTTCGCATCTCCTAAATATGTTACTTTCTTCATAACAGGAGAGCTATTGCACTAAAAATTACATTACACATTTTCAATTTAATGCAGAAAATATATTGCTTACGTTTTGAGAATACAGAAGTAGGAAGTTTTCTCCTCGTTTTCTTGGAAAATGGAGAAGAGCTCTTTTCTATAAGCGTTGCTGTGAAAAAGGCTTTAGGTGAATAACTGGAAAAATCCCTCTCCTGTTTATTCAGTATATCTTATAAGCCTTAAAAATAGAAGCTTGATAGATTGGATGCGGTTTATTATTCTCTGTGACTTAGCTCACCAGAATGATTTTTTCTAAAACACTTTTCTTCTCTGAGGGAGTGAAATAGATCAAAATAAAAAGTCGTGTTTAAATATTTACACAGCATTAAAATTTTATAGAATTTCAGTTTGAAGCTTACTACTTATTGTTGGCAAAGATATTAAATGTATGTTTCACTAGACAACCAACAAGAGCTGGATTGAAGATAAACTGGTATCCTGAAAGCTGCTCAAAATTGAAACGTTTCATATCAAAGGCTAGATGAGAGAGTGATGAATTAATACAAAGGGAAGGTCTTTCGGTAAATTTTTATAATACTTCTGTAACCCAATAGTAGTTTTGTTCTACAATACTTTTGTAACAGTTCTAACGCAATGTCGGATAGTGAAAGTTTCATGATAATGGTGAAAAAAGCTAAAAGTTTGGAAGTAATTATTAAAAAGCTACATATTGAATAAAAAATGACTATAAAAAGGAATGCAAAATGCCGCTTAGAAGCATAAAAATATCGAAAAGGGTTTCGAAATATTAAAATTGAATCTAAAAAGTATTTCATATTTTTACATAAATGCATAAAACATTTTAATTATTCTGAATTTTATTTGTAGCTGATAGCAGCCTGATAGAACTTCCTAGTCAAGTTGAAATTAGATAGTAGTTAATAAATATGTTAAGACAAACCAGAAGTATCTGAATTGGTAGAGATAACTGCATGGAAAACTTTCAAGAGCAGATTATGTTGACTAATGAAGCGGAAACTATAAAATTGCGAGCTCAAGTGTCTAGCTTGTTTTTCCAACCGATCCGAATTTGGAAAACAATTGTCAGTAATCAATACTGTTACTCTTGGAACCAGCGATTATATGTAAATATATAATTGTCATTCTAATATTTTCCCTACAAGTTGTTTAACTCTCCATAATTTTGCTTAACATTGACAATTCGTTTTATGATTTTTCTTTTGTATTCTAAACATTGTACAGCTTTCTACAAGAAGTCTTCTTCAATGGTATCATTCCTAAAGCAGGTAATCATGAGTTCTTATCCTCAATAGGTAACTTAAGCTCAAATATGATGATAAGAAACTTGTAATTATTAAATTTCTTATGTATGTTTCAGCCATGTATGTACTAGTGTTTAAAAATCTGAATCTAGAACTTCCATCTAAATTACCTTAATGGTTTAGAAAGGAAGCGAACATTACTTGCCACTTGGTTAAAAGCACAAAACTGCCTTAATTCAGTCAAGTATTCATTTCTCTCTGAAATGAGTTTTGTCGACTTTTACGATTTCCTTTTCCGGAAAATATATATCAAGTAATCTCTTTTAGAACGCTGTCTACGAAGTCGTATCTCTTCTTAATTAGACAACCCTTTAATGGTGGTTGCATTTATTTAACTATTTTGAAAATGTTTCACGAATTAATTACAACATTTCTGCATACATAAGCGTTGAAAGTGATACGGAATAAAATTGTATTCAGAAGTTTCTTGCTTACTTAATGCCATTCACCACTTTTCTAAGTGTAACTCCTATATATACTTGTTGACTGCAAATTTAATACTTTGGTTCTTAAAGTGATTTTAAATCCGTATTGAAAAAGGTAAAATGTGAATTCAACCTCAATATCTTATAAACCAATGAGTCGTTTTCAACCTTTTCTTATGTAATCCATCCCAAAAGCCATAAAGGAGAGCCCGACCATTATATTCATGACTCAGTTACTATCTTATGATTCAAGATAACGATTATTATGTCATCACGTTTCATTATTTTATAGGCTGACAGCGACACATTTTGCAGCTTAATTTTATGCTTCATTTCAGTTTATTGGATGACAAAAGTCCTTAAACTTTAGCTGAAAGTTGCACGGACGTAGATTAAAGACAACGAGTGAGAGTAATTAACATATGTGAACTTTTATTGATTGGTCTAAAGAAAACTAGGAATCCGAATAGTTTAAGTGCAAATGGTTCACTATTTCTTATTAAGCAAACTGTGCATGTGAATATAATAATTTTCATGGACTGATTGCAAGAAGACATTATTAATCAATTCACACTTTTAAAAAATCAATTCACGCTAAAGTGTTCATTTATAAAGTCACTAACTAATTACTAAAGAAAAATAAAGAGAAACCATTGATACAGTAATATCCATATTTCCTTATTGTGTACTGAATTATTAATAAGTTATATTAAAATATTTTTTTAAATAACTTTCATAAAAATATAAATATCCGTTAATAATATTAAAATAGGATTGACGAAAATTAAATCATTAAATTTTAATGTAAAATAATTTTATTAATTCTATGAAAAACTTTAAAATTGAAACGAATGACATTTGTTACAATTACAAATTCTGCATTTGTAACTACAAGCTGGAGGAAAGCTGTAAGTTCGTATGTAAACTTTTACTCTATAAAATAAACCTAATTGACAACTATTAATTGATCTTGTTTAACTTGTTATAAGTTATTTCCCCTTCCTTTCCGCATGCCTTCGTGCAATAATTAGAAGCATACTCGACGCGTATTTGGGAGGTGCAGGGTTCGAGTCCCGGCGAGGACACTGCACAATTTTTACGTCTTCAGCATCAGAAAACCTAATGACTCTACAAGTGACGCCCGAATTAAAAGGTGGTGTACGATAATTCTTCACCACCAGGATTTGGCGACTGGGCTTCCAAATACCCGGTCGCCCGTTAAAAAAAGGGGGATTTTCATGAAAAGTAAGAAATAAATTGTTACTATTTTTATTAATTGTAAAGGTGTTAAATAAAGCAACGCTTTTCTTTATGTATTAATCATTATTCATTCTTAAGTTTTGTGAACTGTTACGAATATAATTTGTGCATTTGATCAAGATAAACTGTTCTGTTGTTAAAATGTTTTTGCATAAGCTTACAAATTTCTGGGCAGTATAGCGATAAACTTAAGTAAAATATTTACTCAACTGAACATGTGAAAGATATATCCAAAAATTTTATATAGGTATATGTCTGTAATTCAGCTTAATTCAAGGTAATTTCTTTAAGATTCATAAATATGAAACGCGCATAAACTGAAATCATTGAATTCACATAAATCTGTTTTATTTTATTAATATTTATTTTCTTGTTGATATAAGGTTGTTGGTTGTGAAAAGAATCTATTTAAAACTTTCATTTTAAAAAAAGCAACATGTTACCACTTTTTTAGATAATTATCTGCTATTAATTTCAGGTAAAAATGATTCTTTAATAAATTATACCGAGAAGTTGCTAATAAAACCTAAACAAATTCTTGAACTTATGCAGAAACATAATTTTTAAAGGCTTTAATGTTATACACATGCATTAGATTTCGAAATATTTCTTAATGATTTTCTGTACTTAGTAAATTACAGATATCATCTTTATAACTTTAAAACAAAAAACTAACAATAGCGAAGCATTTCATTATAAATTTAACATATTTTTACTGGAAAATTCATGCACAGAACAGCTTACAAACACGTACGTTTCTCTACCGTTTTGCAATGAAGTAACAAACATGGACGCCGCTTGTTCCGTGGAGTTTCATTCCCCAATAGTGGAGGAAACTGCGAACTCTCCCTCCTTCTATTCTAATCTCCTTGTCATTACTACTGTTGCGGACAAATTGGGGCCACGCAACATCACAAACTTACAGAATAACTGAAAAACATATTTAAGCGCGCGAATCGTCTGCGGATATTCTTTGAGGATAATCGTCTGCGGAATTTACATTTCTTAGTGGAGTTATGTTGGTAGCGTAGCAAAGCAAATACGTTACAACATGTATACATGTTCTGTCTCTAACATACGGGAAGTACCAGGTCTGATCCCATCTTATATCCTCCATATTATGCAGGAGGTGGGTCTGTCAGGTGAAATAAAAAAGCCTGAATGCTGAACTGAGCCATAGTTATCACCACCATAGAGAGCACGTGAAGATTTAAAATATATATAAAAAATGTATGTACAGCGCATTATTTCTGCGCAACTTTAAAGTTAAGTACAGCGCATATTTTCTCAATTTCAATTTAAGTTAGTGAAAATTCGGACTCCTAGCGAATACTTGTTTTGATCCCGTATGGCCGGTAATTCATTATTTTGATTTAGAGTTTTAGTTATATTACAGTCTACAAAATAAAACTGGTTGTTGTTGTAAAGTTGTCTTTAAAATTTTATTATTCAGAGTATTACTCAATTATGACAGAATGCCGGATTTGTTCCCGTATTCAACATTCATATGAACTTCAGTATTCTAAATCTCTCATGTAACTTTAATTTTCTTATTAATAATAAGAAGACGAATGGAATAAATGCAGGCTATGCAGACATAAGGGAAAAATCTGGAAGTAAAAGAAATTATTTCGATCTAAGCAATTCAGTAGAATGTACAAATATTCATACTGTTCGAAGGTTATTTTTGGAATTACACAGCATAAAAATGTAAATTTACTGAAAAGAGATGTAATGAAGATCAAATACTCTGCAAAATCAAGGCGGTAATTATACAAAACTAGTTATTATACGGAACGTTCTCCAAAAAAAGTGGTTCCGAGCGAGGAAAACACGCCAGCAATGTCCTGAAACTCTAAGTGGGCCTTTGATCTTCGCTCTTACGTAGAATTTACAATTCAACTAAAAACTTTTGTAAGAGCAAACTGGACTAGGCAAAAAAATTTCAAAGATAATCAAGTGGTATAAAAATTAATCAAAAAGTACAACATGTACAAATTTTTCTTCGCAATAACTTATGAATGTTTCCGTTTCAGTAGAATGAAATCGGAAAGTACAAATTTGGTAATGAAACACTCATTTCAGCCTTTTGAGATTTTATCAAAAAATGCAATAAACGCATGTGTGTGTTAGTAAAATTCTACTTGAAAAATGAGCATTTAGGGAAAAACATGACTTTCTTCTCATAGTCACTTAATATGTAATACAATAAGTTAAAATATAACACTGGTTCATCAATACAATATATTACTTATGTACGGTTAGTTGTTCATTTAGAATATGATAAAGAAGAAACTTTTGAGTCAAAGAGAAACATATTTACAAAACAATGATTCTTAGTTTCCTAGTAATTTAAATCAAGGTGCTGATGTTTCTCATGAATGTCAGATATTTTCTTAGACATGTTTCTAATGAAATTAGTATATAAACTTCTTTTAAGAAAGAAATAGACTTCATGAGAAAAATCTATGATAGTGCAAGTCAGTGATTCTTGGTAACTTCGAGAAAATATTCTGTATGAGCTGGGTTAACAGTCTCTATTTCCATAGTATACTAAAATAAAAAATTCCATTTCTTTTCTTAATTTTCTGATTCAGCGTGGTAGTGTTATTGAAGTTAAATCTTCCAAACGTGGAAAACTTTATGAAATCAAACAATATAACTATTTAATAAAAATTTATTCCCAAATCTTTACAAGGCAATGTAAAAGATAAATAAGAAAATATTTGAAAATTCAATGATTTGCAGTGGCCGTAACATTAAAAATTGTAATACTCAAAGTTTTCAAAAGGTTTATGGAAACACGATAACATCATAGTCATCCGCAAATAACTTCCATCGAAACTGAAAACTTTACGCACAAAATTTACTAGGAATGCAAGGAAAAAAACATTAAGGGTTTCAAAATGAAGATACTTTCCGGAATGAAATGTACAGTATTTCAGGAAGTATTCACTTAACTTCTAACTTGGTTGTAATGAGCATATGTGAGACACGAAATGCATTCGGATGCGAAAAAAAATAACAAACATTTAACTATCTGGAAATGAATAAAATTTCATTGGAAATGTAATGGCATGAAAAGCAGAAAAATATATCTGAGTAGAATACCTTGATGATAATATCTGAATATGTTTGTTTTTTTAAGGCGAAAAATTTTCACTGCAGTTTCCGTTAGGGCTCAAAAGAAACAGTTCGCTTTTTTGAGTTGGAAAAATTTTCACTTTAATATTTTAAAATGAAAAATCTCCACTGCTATTTCGTCTATGGGAAAACCGATGTTAATTTCAAAATGTGGTTAGAAAAATTACCTTTTGAGTTTAAAAACGTGAAAAAAAAATATTCGTTTAGATTTTTTAGGTCGAAAAAGTTTCACTTTAAAATTTTTAGGAAGAAAAACCTCCACTTTTATTTTGTTTATGCGAAAACCCATGTTAATTTCAAAATGCTAGGGGAAAAAGTTACAGTTTGATTTTAAAAAAACGAAAAAAATTCATTTAGATTTTTTTAGGTCGAAAAAGTTTCACTTTAATTTTTTTAGGTAGAAAAATCTCCATTTTTATTTTGTCTATGGGAAAACCCATGTTAAATTCAAAATGTAAGGGGAAAAATTTACACTTTGATTTTGAAAAGTCGAAAAAAATTAATTTAGACTTTTTAGGTCGAAAACGTTTCACCTTAATTTTTTAGGGAGAAAAATCTTCACTTCCTAGATTTTGAAAAGTCGAAAAAAATTCATTTAGATTTTTTTTTGGGGGTGGAAAAAGTTTCACTTTAATTTTTTTTAGGAGGAAAAAATTTTTTTATTGGTTACGGTATACTTCATTCTCGCTCTAACCTTTTTTCTTTTGAGTTGTAATATTTCTGAACTTGAATCTTCAGAAAACGAAATCATTCTGATTTATCAAATTCCTTCTAAGTGTAGAATATAGTCTTCAAACAGAATATTTTAGTATAAATAAATGCATTATAGACAAAAATAAGATTAAAAATACTTTTATTTTTCAGGCCCTATTCCTGAAACTGGTTAAGGTTCTTACCCCTGACTTATCCCATTCGAGACATTTTCAGAAAAAGTATTCATGCCTTGTTCATGTTTTCCATACTCAGACATTGTTTTGCCTTCTTATATGTTATATTTCACTATTGCTCTTTGGCTTGGTAGGAAGTTTTTTCATGGATATTGCATACCTCTCCTATACGTCTGTTCTGAGGCTGTTCTAATAAATTACATTACCAACTAGTGTAAATAATATCTCTAGATATATAGGTATTATCTTGAATGTTTGCTTCCTAGCTGAGAATTCCTAGCTGAGAAATTTTTATATTCTAAGCTGGGAAAAAGATGGCAAAGTTTTCCTTCCGTGACTGAATATTAATTCCATGCCCAGACATCCTTTCTTTTTAGATGTTTTACACAAGTATGGCTCTGTAGTGAATTTAAAATATTATATTACAATGTGGATATTCTTCTCTGTAGTTAAAAATTCTGTAGATTGTTAAAAAATTATGGCTGTATTAAGTTCAAATATAGCATTGTTTATGAAGGTCTGCGGTAAATGGTGGGATCACATTAAAGAATCCGGGTGAAGTTTTCCACATGATAGAAATCAAAATTTAACGTATGTTCGGTGATTTAAATACAATGTGTACAAGAAAATCCAAGATATTTTTGTAAAATATTTCAAAGAGTCAATCTGTGTTAGTAATATATCTAAAACCTCCTGCTCAATAAAAAGGAGTGTTCTGAATATATTCATGTAAATGTCTGTAGTGTAAAATAATAGGAAATGAAATGCTGTTGGTACGTATTAGCCAGGGGTAATATTATACAAAACTAGTTATACGGAAGATTTTCGTAAAAGTGGTTCGAGCGAAGGAAACACGCCAGCAATGTCCTGAAACTCTAAGTGGGCCTTTGATATTCACTCTTGCGTAGAATCTACAATTCTACTTAACTTTTGTAAGAGCAAACTGGACTAGGAAAAAAAAATTCAAAGATAATCAAGTGGTATAAAAATTAATCAAAAAGTACAACATGTACAAATTTGTCTTCGCAATAACTTATGAATGTTTCCGTTTCAGTAGAATGAAATCGGAAAGTACAAATTTGGTAATGAAACACTCATTTCAGCTTTTGAGATTTTATCAAAAAATGCAATAAACGCATGTGTGTGTTAGTAAAATTCTACTTGAAAAATGAGCATTTAGGGAAAAACATGACTTCCTTCTCATAGTCACTTAATATATAATACAATAAGTTAAAATATAACACTGTTCATCAATACAATATATTACTTATGTACGGTTAGTTGTTCAGTTAGAATATGATAAAGAAGAAACTTTTGAGTCAAAGAGAAACATATTTACAAAACAATGATTCTTATTTTCCTAGTAATTTAAATCAAGGTCTTGATGTTTCTCATGAATGTCAGATATTTTCTTAGACACGTTTCTAATGAAATTAGTACATAAACTTCTTTTAAGAAAGAAATAGACTTCATGAGAAAAATCTGTGATAGTGCAAGTCAGTGATTCTTGGTAACTTCGAGAAAATATTCTGTATGAGTTGGGTTAACAGTCTCTATTTCCATAGTATACTAAGATACAAAATTCCATTTCTTTTCTTAATTTTCTGATTCAGCGTGGTAGTGTTATTGAAGTTAAATATTCCAAACGTGGAAAACTGAAATCAAACAATATAACTATTTAATAAAAATTTATTCCCAAATCTTTACAAGGCAATGTAAAAGATAAATAAGCAAATATTTGAAAATTCAATGATTTGCAGTGGCCGTAACATTAAAAATTGTAATACTCAAAGTTATCTCCTATACGTCTGTTCTGAGGCTGTTCTAATAAATTACATTACGAACTAGTGTAAATAATATCTCTAGATATATAGGTATTATCTTGAATGTTTGCTTAATATATAAATTTGTGAAGAATTTCTGTTTGAGTACTAGCATTTGATTTTTTCTTTTTAAAATTAATTTATACTAAAATGTATTAAAGGTTCATTTAAGTTACCAACGTTGGACCATGATATGGAGTTCATGTCAATATTATATGTTTTGTATGGTATTTATGCAAAAATGTTTCTCATATCTGTGAAAAATTAAATATCAGATGTACTCAAAGAGCTGTAAGGACTCTAAGTAAAGTAATGTCAGTTTGAAATGCGTATCTTCAGTTAAATTGAATATATTGAAGTTAAGTTGTATTATTATTTGGAAATTCATGTCAATATTCCCTGTTATGTAGGATCTTATTTGCTATGTATCATAAAAATCATCCTCAAAAAGCTGTAAGATTAGAAGGAATATATTAAAAAGCTTTGAGACTTGTAAAAATAATGATCATACCAATTTGGGGAAAAAAAAAAAAAATATTCCGAAGCTGAGAAATTTTTATATTCTAAGTTGGGAAAAAGATCAGCAAAAGTTTCACTTCCGTGACTGAATCCATTAATTCCATGTGTATTACAGACATCCCTTTCTTTTTAGATGTTTTACACAAATATGGCTCTATATGGTGAATTTAAAATATTACATTACAATGTGGATATTCTTCTCTGTGTAGTTAAAAATTCTGTAGCTTGTTAAAAAATTAAGGCTGTGTTAAGTTCAAATATAGCAGTGTTTATGAAGGTCTGTGGTAAATGGTGGGATCACATTAAGAATCCCGGGTGATGTTTTCACGTGATAGAAATCAAGATTTAGCGTATGTTCGGTGATTTAAATATGACAATGTGTACAAGAAAAATCCAAGATATTTTTGTAAAATATTTCAAAGAGTCAATCTGTGTTTAAATATATCTAAAACCTCCTGCTCAATAAAAAGGAGTGTTCTGAATATATTCATGTAAATGTCTGTAGTGTAAAATAATAGGAAATGAAATGCTGTTGGTACGTATTAGCCAGGGGTAGAGAATAATAAGAAATTTCGTATGTATTTGAACGGAAACTGGTTAGAGATGTCCATATAATTAGTTCAAGTAGATTTTATGTTGTGAAAAGTTTATTATTTCTGAATTATCTAAGGATTTAATTCACAGTCAAGTAGATCTTTAAAAAATCCGTATAGGGTCTGTATTTATTTTCTAGGAAAAAAAAAAAAAAAAAGGAATCAGAAATATTAACAGGAGATATGTTTTAAAACATGATAAAAGGTTAAATGTAAGGCAAAATGTCTAAATGGAAAATAGAAAGTTTAAAATTTACATTTGTTTCACGTTTCATGAATCCTTTGAAATAAAAAAAAGGAGATCCGTAAAAGAGAATCCGCGACATTTTTCTATAGTGTTTCAAAAAGTTAGTATAATACATTAGAAGAAAAAGTTCAGAGTATCACCTGTTAAGTGTTAGTCGTATGGGGTAATACATTAGAAGAGAAAGTTTTGTATATCTTAAGTATTAGTAGCGTAAAAAATAATAAGAAAGATAATATGCTAAGTAAGTTATATGGAAGGAACATCGTACTTATTGGTTTAAATTTACAGAAAATATTATCGATGAAAGCCTCTAGAGGGAAATTATATGCGTATAAGTTCCAGCTTAAATTTCGTAGACAGAGAAACGTATATGTAACTTTACGCTTCGAGAAATGGAGGTGTAACATCAATAAGTATTTAAAACATTAAGAAAAACCTTAAGAGGAAAATAAAAGAAAGAAAAAAGAAATGAGAGAAGAAAATTCTTCAAAGAATTAAAAAAATACTTTTATATAAAAGAAAAATTAAAATTACTTCTTGAAGTAAAATATAGGAAGGAAAAACACTGAGTTCGTAAAAAAGAAAGAAAAAATCATACGAAAATAAATACTACTTTTGTAAAACAAATAAAGTGAAAAATGTAAAACACGGAAAGGAAAGATTAAACTGAAGGGGCAAAAAAACTTTTGTAAAAATAAAAATTTAAAAAAAAAAAAAATTGTGAAAACGGATTACTTTTATAAAATCTATTACTTTTGCGAGTTAAACGTAGGGGAAAAGATTGTAAAACTTAAAAATGTGGAAAGAAAAGAAAATCTTATGTTTGTATATAAAAATATGATGTGAAAATTAGTACATTTAATTTAAGGGCGGGAAGAAGAGAAAATTACGTAAATTTTGTTTGTAAGATAAAGAACAGAGAAATTTAAAATATCTTAACCTAAAATAGAAACAAATTAAAGTTATGAATTCATTCATTATCGAGAATGTACAAAGGTCTGACGCAAGTTAGGAACAGAATTGCCTATGTGCAATCCATCAGCCTTCATGTTTGGTTTCCCAACTGCACAAGAGTCAGTTGAACATGAAGAGGATAGACATGGTTCAAATATCAGGATTCATAGAGACAAAAGCACGGCTTTGTGTTATCGTCCACGTTTCCCATGCCATAGATGGGGGGAGAGTTAAGTCCCAGCCATGGGGTTATTTTTAAAACTCGTGCAAATACATGAACGTTTTTCATTAAATACTACTACAAGTCTTATATACCAAGTCAAATAGTATAATCAATTAAAAATAATGGTAAATAACTTGGTCGGAATCCACGAGTACCAATCAAAATGCACTATGGTTAAGACTACTGCCCTCTAGCGGTCGCTGCTGAACTAAACAGAATGTTCTAGAAATCCTAACATGTATCTACATGCTGCAATCAGGTTGCGGATTTAGTATGACATCAGAGCAGCGGGGAGTTCTACGTCAATCGATAAACGTGTACATGAAAGGTCGCCGCTTTTTCAGATGGCCCAGACTTTCCTTTCCCCATCGATGACGAATAGCTGATAGCTTTGCACTTTGTAATCGATTACGAAGTCTCGATACTTTGTTTACGTTTTATGCGGAATTGTGGTAAGGTTGTATGTGGAAAATCTTGCGGAATTGATAAGGGCCGCTCTTCATATTTAATTTTTTTTTTCTTGCTGTATACGAGAGTGGACGCAATACGAATAAATCTCTATGCTACAGTCAATTATTTCCATTATTCCAAGCCCACCAGCGGCCGAGCGGTAAAATCGCTGAACACTGGTAGTTCGGTCT